CGAGCATGTTTGGTGTGACAGGGATTCGAACCCGCGACCCTCAGATTGCGAGTCGAGTGCCTTAACCACCTGGCCATGCCGGGCTTAATGGGCTGTACAACTACGCAAGAAAAAAAATACGACCATACGATAGCTCTGTAAGTTTTGAAAAGCTCAGAGAGGAGATATGTGTATCTGATCATTTGTATATTAACGTGTCTTTCATCTACGTATGAGTTTTGGTTTTCGTTTCGGTTTGAACTCAAAAGACAATCTTTTATATTTCCGACAAGGGATGTGGTTATCGAAGTTCATGGTTAATAGCTCATGCAACTATTATTATTTGTTTCTAATTACCGGTTTAATAGTTAATTGCTAATCTAATAACTTTCAACTTTTCTGCTGCAGGGGAATACTGCTTTCACGTGAAACAATGCACATAGTTTGAATCTAATTATCTTTACAATATTCATAGGAACGACGTAGACCTCAAACCTTCGCTCTAAAAATCTAATTAAATTAGAACATTCAGTTATTTCATGATGGGAAAATATTCAGGTTTTTAAAGAGTTTTGGTGTAAGGGCATAGCCTAAGCTTAGAAATGTGAGAACATGTCCCTCCAAAGACAAAGTAGCTTTACTGTGGCGACGACGTGGTCGGGTAAACAGATAGTGTTGAAATCCGAACTCCTTATCTCGATATAACACGAGACACCTGACTTATATTAACAAAACAGAGAACTCACGGCCTTAGTCATAAACCTAAGTTACAGTTCAAATAACTTCAAAGGAAATTCGTTCACCTCCTGTGAGTAGAAACACAGAGATTTTCCAAACGTAAATGTGAAGCAATGAAAGAAAACTAGTATAACAAATAAATTACGAGCAATGTGTTGTTTTATTCGATTTGCGTTTATTCGTTTCAGAATTACGTGCGAAACTACAAAAAAGATTATGTGCACGCATTGTCGTTCTTAATTTTGAAATGATAAAAATATCAGATTTATTTGTTTTGGGGTTGTTGCTGTTGTTTTGTGAAGCACAAAGCTACACAATGTGGTATCTGTTGTCTGCTTATAGCTGGTATTTAAACCCTATATTTTTCGGCGTTATAAACCCCTAAAACTTACCGCTAAGCCATCGGAGGGCAAACTAGATGGAAGGAAGGCAGCTAGTCCACCGTACCCACCGCCAACTCTTTGGTGGGTACTTTTATTTCAGCTAATAAGACAGCTAGTTAACAGAATCCACCATTATTTTTGGACTACTCTTGCTAGATCAAATATGGGATTTGCCTGTCACTCTTATAGCGCTCCCACGGTCCCAAAGCGTAAAAGCGCATTTCTACATATAATTTCGGATTCACAATTCGGACTCATTAGCCGCCAGGCCACGCGCAATCGTTATATTTTATATATGAAAAAAAAAAAGCCAGATGGACACAACTAAAATTTGTTTGTTTGTAGCCAGATAGACACAGATAAAGTTTGTTTGTTTGTTTGAAGTTAAGCACAAAGTAGCACAATAGGCTATCTGTGTAATGCCCTCCACGGGTATCGAAACCCGGTTTCTAGCGTTGTAAGTCCGCAGACATACCACTATGCCACTGGGTGGCGTATAGCTAAAGAGCACTCCCGAAAAATACCATCCACCGAAAAGAGGAACTGTTCAGCTTTAAAAAAAAAGATACGAATTTAATTAGGTTGATACCCTACTGAACCCTAAACATGAATCGATACGCATCTTGTTTAGCTTATAGTGATTATAACAACAACCGGATATGATAGATCAGCAGTGCACAACTATGATGCCCCTCCCCCAGTGGCTCAGCAGTAATCCTAGAGGCTTATAACGCTTAAAAAAACTGAGTTTCGATACCCGTGGTGGACACAGCGCAGATAGCCCATTCTATAGCTTTGTGCTTAACTACGAAAAAAGCAAACAAACAGAAACACAACCATAACTAATTGACTGTCATACTTTGTTAAATGTATAAGTAAGTAGTTTAAAACATTACGATATCATATTTGTTTATTCTATTTCAGATGTCTCCATTCAATGTTAATAAAAATTTTATGGATATATTTTAGATGTCATTTCAGGCAGGATAACGTGTTCAACATGATAAATTCACGAAATGTCAGTTACGATTGAATAATACGTTCATCAGGATAAAACAAAATAAAATCAGCAATCGTCGCTTCAAGATGAAGTCGCAAAACGTGCAATCTCCAACCACTCGTTTTAGTTTTAGGCCTAAAGTTTCACTTGTCGTTCTTTTTTTCAGAGCCAGTTTAGCTACAACTTATATTTAAGATATAATTCCTTTTCAGGAGATTACTAATTTTGGAAAAAAAAAACTAATGTTAAAACTGACGTTACAGCTTATTGAAAGATGAATCTTAAGATCTTTATCTTTTTAATTTTTATTAAGGATTGGTGCCACTGAAACCATTTGCATATAATATGTATACATATATACACGTTTAGTTCGTGCTGTTTATAGACACAGCCCACAAATCTATTATTTTCATTCGTTACAAACATTATTTATGCAAGCAGTGAATATCAGCTTTTCAAGGACTAAGTATGATTTATTAATGATCAAATTTCAACAGTTGTTCACTAAATATTCTTGTAACGGAAGTGTTTTATCGTAATCCTCAAAAACGAACAAAAATACAAAGATTAAGTTCTAAGCATTTTCACTTGAATCCGTTAGTAAGTCAAGGTCAAAACAATAAGACGACGTAATGAAAGTGACTTTCGCGTAATAGTGCAATCCGTCATGACAGTCAGTAAAGGCGCATTTTAGCCTAACGGGTACTGAAGGTAATGGTAGGACGGTAAATAAATGCGCACTTTAGCCTGACGGGTATAGATGGTGATGATAGGACAATAAGTAAATGCGCACTTTAGCCTAACGGGTACTGAAGGTGATGGTAGGACGGTAAATAAATGCGCACTTTAGCCTGACGGGTACAGATGGTGATGATAGGACAATAAGTAAATGCGCACTTTAGCCTAACGGGTACTGAAGGTGACGATAGTCAGGGTGGGATCAGTATCAAGC